GGTTTTATACAGTAGCCCAACAAACTCAATGCTTTTCCTGACATTTGAATTGAAAAATCTTCTTGGATGGGAAGCAAAATGTCGTCACACTTGGAAACAAAATCCAATGGATTGTTCTTAATTCTATTTTTTTTTTGTAAAACTAATCTTTCAAATAAACAAAAAAATTGTGGACCTGCATCCATTTGCTGAAGGTCAAACCATTCTGGTTATATTCTTTCAAGATCTGCACTGCACCCCTGACTGAAACAGGACCTGTCTGCCTACAAGAAGCAGGATACAACATCTGAATAAGAAACACATCAGTCTCAATCAGTCTGCAAATGATTACAACGTGATTTCTGAGGCATTAAGATGTTAAAATGATGATAAACCTTTGCAGGACCCGTCCAATGAAGCCAGTTCAAAACTGCATCTGGATTCAATCAGGTTATCTTTGACAGATCTTGACATTTTCACACAAAAAAAGTAAAAACTGAAAGGGAAAAAAGAAAGACAATAACCCACAAGTTCATTTCAACTATTTATTAATATGATGATGTACAACCACGGTTTTCTTAAGGCACTTAACAAAAAGCCGCAAAAGAAACACGCTTGTATAAAACATCATACAAAGTTCTGTAAAGTTTCATGTCATTTCAGATTTGAAAATAAGAATAAAAGAAGCAATATTAAGAGTTTTTTTTTATATTAGCTAACCCTTCCAAGCAGAAAACATAGGAATTTTAAGTCCAGTGTTTACAATCACTCTGCAGTGTGCAAGAACATGGAAGCTAAAGTGTAAATATAACGAACATCACTTCCTGCACATCAGCCTGCTTATAACAGTGCAACAGGAATACCAACACACGCAGACAACATGGAGGCTGCATACAGTATTTTGTATAATTATTTTAAAAAAAACATCAGGCAAACAAACACCAACTTGATCATCATAATGATACATTCACGCAACTTAAGTTTTCTTTATGAGCAGCTACTTTATGAGATTCATCAGCAGCACGTGAATCCATCTGCATCTCATTTCTGCATATTTGCTCCCCTGAAACCACCTGTAGCAAAGCACCCCTGCGTTTAGAAGCATACTTATCTTATATAATGCATAATTCCAAATGAATTACAGAAACAAACCCTGCAGGACCATCCTGTTATCTTAAATAAAATCAGTGCCAAGACTGGAATCAGCTTGTTCATCCGAGAAGAAAATCCCAGATTTCTGTTCCCCTAAAGAGGGGAGGGGTTACGACCATAATCAGGTCATCAGTTCTGGTTTTGGCCAAGAGGCAGAGCCTGGTTGTCAGGTGCTCCTTGACGTCATTTAGTATGATTAGTGTTCAGACAGAGGTGGAGGAGAAATGAAACACGATAGCCCACCTGGGATGTACTCCGTCATGGCGGTAAAGCAATCTACTAATAGATTTCACAGCTTCCATCGTGCTCCTCATTGCACAGGCCCTGCAGTACAGTGATCTTGGCAGTTAGAGAGTGTGGCGGACACTCAGACAGTCAGTATTGCACAATGCTGAGTATACACAGCTGTGAACTCTGGCATACTTTCACTAAAACACACAACTTCCCCTGACTTTGTGTTACATGTGTCAGCAGACCTCTGCAGTCTCTCAGGGCATTGTTAGAGAATAAAAGCTCCATTTCTGATTCACTTTCTTACATTTTAAAAAATGAAAGAAACATAACTCACATGATAAATCCTACTTTTCTATACAGCACAAACAATCCCTATGTATCATTGTAACAGAAATAAGACAGATGACCTGTCAACCATTACTAAGAGTGTAATAATGAAAGCAACAAATCTAAATCTGAAATTTCTCTGCTCATTGTAGGTTTTTTTTTTGGCTAAAAATCAAATCATTAAGCATTCTTTAAGTTATGAAGGTCTGCTATGTTTCCCCAATGACAGCTCTATGGGAAACCTTCAAAAACATTTGTTACATCAAACCTGGAAAAGTAGTTTTTTTGTACCGCACCTGTAGCTCCATTTAAAAGCTATGCAGCAATGATTTTTCTTTCTGTATTTTAATAAATGGAAACTAAAATTACCGCTGCGCATCTATGGAGAGAAATGTTTTTTTTTTTTTTTATATTGTACCACCAGCCTCTTTTAGATCCCAAATGATAGTTCAATTATGTCTTTATAGATAAGTTACACAAGGTACATGTGTCAAATAACTATTCTGTCTGCAGCAGAAAGGAGGATATCATTTTAGGGGGGAACTTTTAATGTAAGTCAGGCTAGATGATAAAGAAGAAAAAACAAAAAGACAAACTTCTCTTGCTGATCAAACATAATTAAATACATAATTTGATTTGCTTCCCACCTGAAAACCAATCATTTTGTTGAATTAACCCTTTAAAATACCTCTACGTTGCTATAAAAAATGCAATCTGAATTTCCAAATAAAAGAAATGTCATTTTTGCTCATGTTGTGTAATTCCTCATCTTTAAAGGTCTTTGAGTTGTTTAAATTAATAGATGAACAGGGTTACCTAGACAAAGCAGTTTAGAGTAATTAAGGGATAAACAGAATGCATGAAACGTCATACAGGACTTAATACAGCATTTCCTGTAATGGGAAAACATGGAAGAAGAAAAAGGGAATTTTGTGAGGAAAATAAAATGTGTGTAATGGTTAACTGTAGAAAGGTTACCAGAGAAAAAGAACAGAGATAAAAAGAGTCTTAAACAGGAAAATGATACAGCATCATATTATAAGAATAGGTACTTCTGAAATTTGTTTTGTTACAGTATTTATGCTATTTTTACAGTTTCTTCACTAGTTGGTTACTGGATTGCTAAAGATAATATAGTTGGGTTTTTTTTAGCGTTCTTGTCCTGATCCACAGTCCTTATTGGTTATTGGCTGTGATGCAACACATTATTATTAGCAAAACTGCATTAAATTTGGAAAGAAGGAGGCAGAAATTGAGTTAACATTATCTATGTTCACATATATAATAGCAGTTTTAATAGACAGCTGATCGGACTAAAAATGTATTGGATAAAACATGGATGTTGGAATACTCCGATAACAGAATTCAATAGAAATTGGAACGAAATAGTATTCTGACGGAGGAGGAGGTTTATGCCGATTGACGTGTAAACACTTATGATCAAGTTGTTCTGAATGTGGCAAAGCTGACCTAAAAGCTCCCCACATCAACATGGCGTACTTCTACTTTTAAAGCAACATTCACACAGAGGGGACACATTTTCCACTTGATCCACCTGCCATTGGTCCCCTGACATCCCAGCTCCCACTCCTACATCATGTCACCAAATAGAAGGAACGTCTATCCGCTCACCAGGTCCTCTTGTCTATTTACCCAACCTCGGCTGACCTTGATTTTGCAAAGCGAATTCCAGCGCCGTATGAGATACAGAAAGCCAAACAACTGCGTCGATGCTGGGATCTGTGGGATCAGCTCCCAGTTTGTCCAGTACCAACACCTGCTCCTTCACCTTACTTTATAATCCCATCTGAATACTGGTTGGTTAATGTGATAGGAATTAACTTTCAGGTATTTTAACAGCTGTGAAATTTTGCTGCCTTCTGTGCGTCCACCATGCCTACTCACAGCGCAGCTTCAATCCATCCATGTGTCCACTGCACTGCGGTCACTCTCATCGGCATCTGCATTGCTTGAAATGTGTCCCTCGCATTGTTGACCGTTTAGCTGCTCCTAAACACACCTTTATGCAGGGTTAATATGGAAATCAATCGCTCCAGCCGTTGCATTTGCCTTCCGTTCTAATGCACCCCAAGAAGCACTATATCAGAGCCATGTTCACACAACACATTAGTCCCATCAACTGCTTATTCTGATTAATTATTTCCATTTAAAAAGGTTTGCAAATACATTTTATTCTGATCAGGAAATTTTGTTTTTCTTTAACTATGTTAAAGAAAAACAAAAAACAAATTTAATGCAAAAGAAGTGCATAAATGGTCAATATGGTATTCACTTCATTAAGCTGGTATATCTGCTCGTTTCAAATGGTGGGGTTTTAGCGATCTGAGTAGCTATTAATCTTAATAATGTTTAGTTGAAGATGGCATTAGCTTAAAAAGTTTTTGTCTGGAGTGGTTGTTGGACTTTGAACAGTTGGCTTGAGAAACAGAAACCAGCCTCAGTAGCCATTGCCATAAGTAGTTAATGGTTTATGTAGCCCATAGCTTAATTAGTTGTACCCTGAGTATACTAGCTTGAATAAAGTTTATGTGTGTAGTCATTGGCCTGGATCGCTGTACAAAGTAGTCGATCATTTAAATGACAGTTAGCTGAAATTTTTGCAAGCTTGGGTAGTCATTGGTTTAAAGTCGTAGGGAAGCGGCTGTTCCAACCGTTTAATTTCCGAATTCTCCCTAGTGGTGCCCGACTTTACACGAGTGAATAAAGTGAATGTGATTGGTCGATTATCAAGGGGGCGGGATTGTTGTGGCGGAAGGTTTGCAAGAAAGTTTGGTTGTGGCCAGTTTCTCTGAAGCATCTTGCTAACCAGTTAGCAACTTAGTGCTAGTAGGTTCCCAATGGGAAATTCCATTGGGACCAAGTAGCACTAAATTGGTGACTTAGAAACGACACTGTCAAGGAACGCTATGGACAGAGGAAACGTGCAAGAGGAGGAGAGTTTAGTGTCAGAGGTCGTGGATGAGTCTCCTCCGTCATACATTTTTTATTCAGAGGAGGAAAGGATGAAGATGTTGTGGAAGAGGACGCCAGGGCGGCAGAAGCTTGGTTTGGTGTAGAAGGCTTCCAGCCGTACATGTTTGAGCCCTTGCCTCGCAACGCTGCCAGTTCGGTTAGCTCTACGCCTGCTGAAGACACAGACGTCCATCCCCGTGAACACTGGGACGCAACTCAATGGGAAAGGAAATTATTCTTATTTTAACCCTTTGCGTATTTTATCTGCGACATCAGAATCAAGATGCTATGAGGGAAAAAATGTGAATGACAGATGACCGTTGATCATGGATATGATTGGCCGAATTTAGGTGTTTAAGCTGACGTATAACTAACTGGCCTGCATAAGATAATGAAGAAAAAAAAAAGATTTTACGACAACTATTAATTTTCTGATAAATTTTCTGATCTGTCTGATAAAAAATACATTTATATACATGTTTAAGCCAGAATGATTTGACATTTAAATAAGACTTCCCTACGACTTTAATTAACCACAACAGTTATTTGAGTTGCTTTGAGCCTAAATTGCTGCCAACTTATATAACTAGAATTATAACTAGCTTTTAATTTAAGTAGTCATTAGCTTAGTTAGTTTACCACTATAAGCTTTTCATCCACTGAGTAGCTATCAGTGCTAGTAGCAATAAACTGGAAAAATTCTTAGCTTAACTAATTTAAAGTTTGAGCAGTTTTTGGTTTGAGAAACCATGAGCATATATATGGAACCGTTATTCCCAGCCGTGATTGGTCTAATCCGTTACCGCTTCGAGTTGAGCCACTAGCTCGGCTATGTTTAGCCAACTAAATATATTAGCTAGATTTATTTATGGTTTATTTCACTGTAAGCTAATAAGAATAACGATTATCATGAAGGCTAGCAGTAAAAAAGGCTTTTCAGCCTACATAAATCACACCAAATTGTTTGCATGAAATGAAAGGAAGTCATTGATTTTTGTTTAGATTTTCATTAACGTTTATGTAATCCATAAACTCTTTATTTACTACTTGCCCTAAATAATTAAGCAAAGTTTTGCTCCTACTTGGAAAGAGGCATTTTACTTTATACTTCAAGGTCAGTTGATTTCAGCGGCTAAGGCCATATATGGCATTTTCACGCCATATTTACTGTATTTAAATTGAATGTGCAATAAATATATTATTTTTCGTTTGAAATAATTATTCAGAGTTACTTTGTGAGTACATCTCATAATCAAAATTGCAATTATTGTTTCTTAGGGTCAGAGAAACAACAACTTTGTTGTTTTTTTGAACTTTTACGGAATAACTTTGTTGCCTAAACAGCACCTGGTTTGGTCTAATCAAAAATGTAATATGACATAAACATGAGCCATTCAAATAAATACACAAATAAATTATGAAATATGCTCATAAATGGAATAACCAATCATTAAATAATGGAAGATGCTCAAAAACATACATTTAGAATGTATAAAATTAAAGCTAAAGAAGGGAAAAAAGAACACTGCTTTATAATTTACTTTTGTTCCAGTGGTTGACTTTTTTTTTTTCTACATTTATGTGAATTGTCTTTTTAATCCAGTGTAAATTAGGTCTTCATTTAAAAGGTTTCTTAGAAATTTCAGAATAAATAAATAAGCCATAAATATATTGTCTACCTCAAAAAGGCTGCCATGGAATATTGCTTGTTTTTATGAATATGTTCTTTTGGTCTTTCCTCTCATCTCCTATAAAACTTTAAAATCTTTTAAAGCTATTCATCAAATTATCACATTTCTTTTTAAAGCTGTTCTGCTCCTTTTATGGGTCATGGGTTTGTTTTTTTATACCCATCTATAAAAGCTCAACAAAGAGCTTTTTGTGAAGCAGCTGCTTTGCTTATAGGTTCTGGTCCAGCCAGTGGATATAGTTCATCATGCTTCTCTGTCCAACGCTTGACATCATTGGCAGGTTAGCAAACACCATGCAGCCATGGAAACCGTCCTCGTAGTGGTCACTAGTCACCTCGACGCCAGCGTCCCGTAGGCGTTTGCCGTACATCAGGCCGTCATCCCTCAGAACATCAAACTCGCAAGTCATCACATACGCTTTGGGGGTTTTACCCAGAACCTCCTGCTCTGCCAACAGTGGCGCCGCCCGCACGTCCATCAGCCCCGGCACCTCACTCATCACGCCTGGCGAGCCCCTCTCTTTAACGACTGGTTTGAAGCTCTTCTTGCGCTCGGCCGGCACCAAAGCGGTCCAGTTCAGCTTGGAGCGAGTTGTGGCGCTGATGGCCGGCTGGTCCAGAGAGCTGTGATTATTGGCCAGCAGGAGTGGTTCCAGGGAGGAGTCAGCACCCAGGTACTGCAGCCAAAACCGAGCCATATAAGGCCTGTAGAGGATAGGTACGGCCTGGTTCTGCTGGTATGATGAGGTGTGGAAGTCAAGAGCTTGGAGCACTGGGTAGATCAATGCCTGTGCTTTGAATTTCACTTTCAGAGATTTATCTGCACTTAGCTGTAGGAAAAAAAGACACAGCGTTAGATGAAGGCCTGAAACAATAATCGGATTAAGCCTGATTAATCGATTACTGAAATAATCGTCAACTAATTTAATCAATTAATATTAACTGGAGCATAGAGACTCTAAAATGTGCCTTTAGCTGACAGAGTGACCCACTTAGAGCAGTAATTATACCAAAAATTGTATAAAACATGTAAACATTTTGCATTTAAGATAAAAAAAACAAAAAACACTTTGTCGTCTAACAATATGCGCCATCCAGAACTCATCAATTGGAAAAAGGTTTAGTTTCTCCTGGTTTAATTTAGCAAAAAGTCTTCTTTAAGAAACCTTTGGCTATCTGTTCTATTAATCCAGTAAATAATCAACAGATTTATCAATTTGCTAAATAGCTAGTTGCAGCCCTAGTTAGATGAAGAATCAGCTGAAAGGACCGTTTAACCTAAAGATGAACTGATCCAGCACAGAATTTCTGAGTCTTTAGTTACCTCATATCTCTTTAGGATCATACCCCCAGCAACTAAATGTTCTTGAAAAACACAGTTGGAATGCGGAACAAGCTAATATGCTAAATATGCTAATAATTAGGATGATAAATTAAAAATAAAAAACTTTTTAACTCCTGTCAACCAGTTGCAAACATATAATTTGTTTTACTCTCTTTTTCAACAAATTAAACGGAGTAAAATTAAAAAAGAACCACATGTCTCCATTTACTGATCACTACTGTACAACAAAACAATTAATTTCATGACAGTTTGCAGCACAATACTGTATTGGCCCGAATATAAGAGGTTTTTTTTTCGTTAAAACAATGTAAAAATAGTGGGGGTTGTCTCATAATCACGTTCTAACCAACTATACGGCTGGAAGTTGTCTGGGGTCGCTACATGAACTCAACAGCAGAAGACGCCATTTTTTCATAAAGCCAGTGACTTCACTGTGGCTGCACAACAGAGAAGAAGTGACATGGATGCTATAAATGGAGATAATGGTGGTCAACATAGCAGAGCCATCAAACAACTCTCAGGCAGCAAAGAAATAAAAAGTTACAATGTCAGAAGACGGAACATTAAAAAAGACTGAAAACATGCGAACAGCTAAAGAAAAGCTTATCAAAAAATTGCAGGGCTGCAGGGAGAGAGTAGGAGTATTAGCGATCGCAGCGAGGAACAGGACGTCTGGGAATCAAGCAGGTTTTTGAGACGTTCTATGAGCAAAGTTCAGATTGCATTCGAGTTGAAGTGTTAACAAGATTTCATTTAAATGTTTCCCTGTTTTTTTACTTTTTGTTTCCTTGCACAAATCTTTCAATGCAATATTTAAATGAAATTCTTAGCACCTAAATATAAAATAGTTTCTTCAGGCAAAATAAATTTGCTTTATCAGTCTTTTTTTTTCCTTTTTGGTCTTTTTGTTTTGTTCCTAAAAACTAGTCCTGGAAAGAGGGGGTCATCTTATAATCAGGGTCGTCCTATATTCGGGTCAGCATGGCAGTTTAGAATGAAATACATTTGCACATTTAGGTACAACAGGTAAACCTAAATCTGCATCCCTGAATTGTTTGTGTTTGCTTTTCTACCTCCTGAGCCACAGCAGCAGCCAGGTTTCCTCCAGCGCTGTCTCCAGACACACAAACTCTCTCCGGATCGATGCCGTACTGCTGCAAAAGCTCATCAGACAGGAAGACCCGCGATGCTGCCAAAGCATCATGGTACTGAACCGGGAACACGGCCTCTGGAGCAAGGCGGTAACTGTAAACAGGATAATTGAAACATGACGGCATAAATAGTTTAAATCATCATATTTACTCGTTCACAGTCAAGTTTCTGGGCAGAAATCATCTCACTGTTCTTATCGCTTAAACCGTGTCCATGACAACTGAACAAACTCTTTGTTTGTTGAATGGCGGTGTCCCAGAAAACTAATTCACCATGAAGTTCAACATCAAACAAAACCTCCTCTTTCCTAACAGACAGCACCACTGTTAGCAAGAGAAATTAAGCAATAAGACTAAAAAAAAAAAAATTAATCCTTTTCTTTTCAATAACTGATCTAAATCCTGACACTCACTCTACAGACATGATGACGGCGTCCAGATCTTCTGCCATTTTCCGACAAAGAAGGTCATAGGAGCGCATCTCTGCAAAAGCAAAGACAAGTGGCAGATGTTATAGTTTAAAAACTGATAAAATATGTACATTTGGAATAAAACATCTGTGACAAACATCTGCAAATGAAAGATGTAATAATAGCCTTTTATAATAATTTATCCTTTCAATTCAGTTTATTTATAGAGCACCAACTCACAAAACATGACTCCAGGGATTTAATTATATTATTGTGAAAATAAAACATGTTTTTCTTGAAAGTAGGCCCCATCAATTTGTGTATAAGAGTAGCTTATCTAAAATTAGACTGTTTACAGTAAAGTTTATGATCACTGCAGCTGCTCTGCTTTACATTACATGGGAGCTGTTTTAAAAAAAGGAAAAAAAGGATTCCATGTTACTTTTAGGTCAAAACTAAAAATAATAAGCATCTGGTTAAAGCTAAAGAAGACAACACTGCAGAGGTAAACCTGGGAATTATATACAAGGGGTTAACATATTACATAATGGATTCAAATATGAATGAACTCAATGCGATTGGTGAATGGTGTCCAGGTCCTGAGGCTGCAAAACAAGCCCAAATCACAAATCTGTCCTCCACTGACTTTGGTCCATCTGTTCTTAGAACAGCATTCCAGAAATCTTGTGATTCACTCAAATTTTGTAAATAACTGTGAAAAACTAAGTTCATACTAACCTGAGCTTTGCTTCCATATTTGATCTGAAGAGCCTTCCTCCTTCAATCATCCCCAACAGAATCTTAAACATGAACCACAAAGGCCTGTAGATCTAGAAAGCAGTTTTTTTTATTATTTTTTTTGCAGGGTCGTAGCCAGATATGGGTGCCAGGGGTCGCCATTGCCACCCTCAACCAATTACTGGCCACCCAGACAAAAAAAAAAAAAATTCTCCAGAAGCCTTAAGGCTGGTTTATGCTCAGAAACCAGTAGGGGTGTAAATAATAATCGTTCGATGCATCGATCCAACAGCCGACGATCCGATGCATCAACACGTCCGCAAGATAATCGATTCATGTTTTTTTTTTTTCCCTCTGGTCTCCTGCACGTAATTCTTCCTCCCGTGCTGCGGTGGCGCTAAACCTATTTTGCCCTCCTACCTCGCTTCCTGGTTATACTCTTACAGCAGTGTGTTGCAGCAAGCTTCACACAGACATTTTTAAATTATGCTCAATATTGAAGCGTGGTCTGTGCTACACACTGTGGGTCTAGATACGGCGGAGGTGGCGAGGAAGTGGGGGCGAGTTTAGTCGACGACGGAGGGACATGAGGGCCAAAAAGAGCGGAGATCCAGGTGGAAAAAGGGTCCCTGCGTTCTCGTGCACCTCGCTCTTCTAGAGGGTCAAACTTCATGAGTTGTTTTCCGCAATTTCGGTCATAAAAACAAAACAAGCCGGCCTCCTGTCTGTGGTCAGCTACAATTTGTGGAGGGGGCGGGACGTTTGGAGCCGAGGTATTGCATTGCACTCATTGCACTGATTTTGTGCAGGATTTTTGATGCAAAGCCTTATAGAATCTATAACGCAGGGGTATTAATATTTTTCAGTGAATGAGGTTTTAATAGGAATAGATGGAGTGCAACTTTTCTACTTATGTTATTTGCTGTTGTTTCTCAAAAAAAAATGCATAACGATATTAGGGGTGTGCAAAATAATCGTAATGATGATGCATCGTGATTCTAAT